AGAAAAAACTCAACCCATCAAGGCTACCACCGTCTACATCCTCTGCAACTGAGCATATATTAAGATCATATCTTCAGTACCATAACTGGGTGACACTCGACACTGCAAGTCTAAATCCACTACATTATGGATGGGAGATGAGTTCTGAAGGATACTACCGGCCAATTCCGACTAAAGCTGCGATTGCCCCGGCAGGGATGCTCAACCTCATTTGCTGCAATTGCTCGGTGGAGGTTGAGAACCCTTGTAAGTACTTAAGGTGTTCCTGCCGGAAGTATGGCTTTAAATGTATACCTGCATGTGGCCAATGTCATGGATTAAGTTGCACTAATGCACCCGAAAGACAGGACGATTCAGGAGAATCAAACAACTCTGAGGAAATGGGATAGCCAGAAGTGACCTAATAGTTGCCAATCAAAGACACCATGCTTATAATTCAGGACCTTTTTTTACAGAATTTGATGTGATATGTATATTATTTACTATACTAATATAAGGATCAATTGACAATTGAAAGTAAATTTTAGAATTTGAATACTGATAACTAGACAATGTTTTAATTGTACAACAATTTTGCTAAATTTCCAAAGTTAAGTAAAATTTCAAAATTTTTGTAAATTTTTGAGAGGTTAGCCTATAAAAATGAAATTATCTCAATAAGTAAAGATCTGACGACCCTAAAACACTGATTCGCCCCACATAATGTCACTATTGCGGTCATTTTGCACCCCCTATGGTGCTCCTGGGGGTCTTTATTACGATAGTTACGAGTTTTTCAAGTGCGGTCCTCAGGCTGACATACGCGCCTGAAGAAAATTGGCTGTAACTTTTTTTGCTCAACAGATCCAGATTGGAAACTCTTTGGGGTGGTTCCTGACACTATGGACAACACATTCCTGTAAAAATCAGCTTGTCGCAAATTTTTTCCCAGACATTTTGCATTATTCCCTAACTACTAGGGTTGATGAACAATTAGGTCTGGAAGGTTTGATAGGTAGACATGGTATTGGGACTAGAAATGAAAATGGGGAGCATTTGCTTGAATTTATGGTTAAAGAAGACCTAACAGCATGCAATACTTTGTTTGATCATCCAAGTAGGCACAAACTAACTTGGACTGGTGAACACAGGACTAAGAGAAATACTCCTATATACGCTCAACTTGACTATGTGCTTTGCAGGAGGAGGTCTACGGTTTTAATAAAGGACAGCAGATCATACGGAGGCGCTGAGTTACGATCTGATCACAAACCTGTTGTAACTCGATTAACGCTGAAAAATCATGTTCTCATTCACAAAACCAAAAAATCAGATAGCACTCAGTTTGACTGTTCAACTCTCTACAGGGATAAAGAACTCAGACAGAAATATCAAAGTGCGATTGCTGAAAGGTTATCGGGTAAAACTTATCCAGATGACCCAAATGAGAAAATGAATGAACTTTTCAGTGACATACGTGCGTGTGCTGAAGAAACTATACCCCTGAAAGGGAAATCCTCTAAACAAAATTTCTCCAGTGATCTAACAGTAGCTTCATTAGTTGCTAAAAAGCGTGATCAGACTCTAAAGATCAAATCAGCCCCAAATGGTAGTGATGTTAGTGGAGATAGGAGAGCAGTAAGAAAGATTCAGAATAGCATTTCTAAGAGACTTGTGCAAATAAATAACATGAAGGCTGACGCTCTAGCAGAAGAAATAAATAACACTGACGATGCTAGAAAGATGTTTGAAGCTTCAAGATCTTTAGCTGGAATAAAAAAGTCGGGTAACATAGTGGTCAATGATATCAACAACAACCCTATTGGTACTGATTTAGGGAAAGCAAACACAGCGAAATCTTTCTTCGAAAAACAACTAACAGAAGGAGTTGAAGCTGGCCTGCAACCTTTTACCTGCGATCCAAAACCACTTGATAACCCCATTACACCAGTTGAAGTTGAACTTGCTGCAAGTAAACTCAAATCAAACCGTGCCAGTGGTCCAGATAATCTCCAGAATGAGTTGATAAAGTACGCCCATCCAATCACTTTTGAGAAGTATGCTGAGGCAATTAACGAGTCATTTAGTGGGAACAAATACATAAGTTCAATAGGACAAGGTATTGTGACTCCTCTACAGAAGCCCGGTAAACCTAAAGGTCCCCTCACAAGCCTTAGACCACTTACACTGTTAAACGGATCAAGGAAGATGCTCACTCAAATTGCCTTAAAACGGGTTGAGAGTAGAATTGACAACTACACCATGCCATGGCAGAGTGCTTACAAGAGAGGTAGGAGCTGCTCTGACATTGTGTGGGCTCAGAGAATGCTAATATCTGTTGTGATGAGGAAGAAATGGACATTTAGCAAAATGGGTATTGATATGAGTAGAGCTTTTGATACCATGAAAAGGGACACTATCATCAATGTTTTGAAGGATGCTGGTTGTTCGGAGGACGACATTCGCTTAGTTCAATACCTTCTATCGAATACTCTCCTTAGAGTTCGTGTTAACTCCTCACTGTCGGAAGAGTTTGAAAGTTTACTCGGAGCCTTTCAAGGTGACAGTTTATCTGGAAAGCTATTCACACTTATTCTTGCAGCAGCCTTACACCACCTCAGAGCTGTATCTGGGAGACCAAACCCACCAGTATCAGAACTAGGTTTTCCAACTGAGTGGGAATATTCAGACGATTGTGACTTTGCTGACGAGGACATCGAGAAACTGAGAATTTTCCTTCCTACAGTGAAGGAGATTCTCAAAGACTGGAACCTCCAAGTAAATGAAAGTAAAACTGAATTCAGTACCTTCTACCTGGCGAAAAAATCTGATAAAGACACAAACGGTCAGCCATTAGCTAATAACGAACCATGGCGAAGTAACAAGTCACTAGGTTCCTTACTCTGTACTGAGAAGGACATTCAAAGAAGGAGAATCCTAGCTGAGATTGCTTTTAAGAACTTTGGAAAAGTATGGTTGTCCGGTAAGAAAATTTCCCTTGAAAGAAAGCTGAGGTTATATGATGCTCAAGTTGTATCTGTATTGATTTACAACTCAAATAGTTGGAGTCCTAAGAAAGCAACCATGGAGAAAATGGACACACTCCATCGTAGACACCTCAGGTCCATTTTAAACATCAAATGGCCTAAAGGTATGATAAGCAACAAAGCATTGTATGAAAGGTGCAAAGTTGAAAAGTTATCCAAGCGTATTGAACACCAGCGGTGGAAGATGTTTGGACACATTCTCAGGAGTATGGAGAACACCCCAGCCCAAACGGCTCTCTCTTTTGCTATTGAATCAGATAATTTATTCATTGGTAGATTGGGGAGACCTAGAATGAACTTGTTATCGGTTTTAAGAAGTGATTTAAGTAGTAGAAATTTGCAAATGGACAACTTGCATGAATTGAACGAAATTAGAGATATAGCTGCATGCAACAGATGTTGGGAAAATCTTTTTCAAGGGTACAGTTTACCGCATTAAGGTATTTTTAAGAATCATTTTTGTCGGTAAGATCCTGTTTTATAATAATAATAATATGATAACATATGGTCACAAACAAAATTTAACAACAAACACAATTTCACACACGAACGTCTATGGAGCGGACTGTGGGAGCCATGTTCAGGGAAGGTCCGGCGGGGGCTATTTGTCTGGAAGGGACGACTCGTACCTCCTGGAGAGCCAGCTGCTGCTGCCCGACCCTGTCCAACTCCTCAGCGCCCCACCGGCAATGATAGGTCATAATACCTGTCTAGGGGGAGGGGCGGCTTCTACTCTGCTCAATGACGCTCAAACTAACACAAAAAAGAATAAACAACAAAAAATACGCCAAAAAAGTTAAAAAACTACTGTTGCAGCACCCAATAGGCAGTCTGAAACTTACGCTGTCACCTAAATTAACCTCAAACGGAAGTTCAGTGCATGGAAATCCAAAAAAGAGTATTTTTAAAATTAACACATTACAAAACTACCTCATAAACAATACAGGTTAAAAAGCAGCAAACACAGTAAAAAAATGAAAGGATTAGAAATCCCATGGAAAAAATATATTTATATATTTTTTCCATATATAAAAAGTAATTACATACAACACTATAAATCTATTACATTAATTGAAAGATATAGCAAAAACTCAAAAAGCGGAAAAGTAGGAGAATAGGAGAAACTGTGAAAAAGTAGGAGGAACTCTAAATGATATAAAATAAAAGGGGGTACTGGTGGGGCTTGTAGACTTGCTGCCCTTTAAGCGTTGGAACGAGCGATTAAAAACTAATGTTCCACAGAAATAATATACATTTATAACCGACTTGTTGGAGCAGATCGTTTTGATAATCATTAAATGATGACAACAGCCTCATGAGTTTTGGTTAATAACGTATTTTCTGTCCTATTTTTGGTGGTCTGTGGGTTAATTTGTTCTATAAAATATATAGGGTCCTGGTCATTAGGGTAGCTCCAATTTCCAGACGCAAAATAATATTTCAAATATCTCCTTATATAGTCTTAATATATAATATAACTTAACTCAAATCAAAAATTTTAATCATAACGGAGTACTAATCCTGCTGAGTCCTGATATTATGTAATATGTATTGTGAATTAAGATCTGTCAAATTTGACGATTTTTAATTAAAACCTTTTAGGATCTTTAGTAACAACTATCTGTTTGGTCTAATGAGAAACTTATTTTGGTAGATCCATTGGCACTCAACAACTATGATGGCATAGTATCTTGCTGTCCTGTATTGTCAAAGTTTTTTTACCTTTTAGGATCTAAACCATTAGATCCTTGTTAGAACAGAATGTTGTAAAACTGTGGAACTTATTATAAGTTGCAACTCTCTCAAAGAGATCACTTACCTCTAGTAGTGTTCCTGCAAATTCTGTCAAAACGTAGGTAACTGAATGATAGGCTTTTTATTGATCGATATATTTTTATTTTAAAGTGCCAGGAAATGAATCCTAACCTGGTCGTGGTTTAAATTTAAATTCATTGACGAATAAAAAGTCGGTAATTGAGTTCTTTAAAATGGCTGCTATACTTAACTAATACACATTATACAGTAACCTAGATAATAATATAACCCAACCCCTAAATTAACCAAAGCTCTGAAAACTGAAGTAGGGTGCCCTTTAATTTTTAAACCTTTAAATACGCTTAAGTGGCTCAACTCTTACAAAATAGGAGTCAAATAACTAATAAGTTAAGAAGAGACGGGAACAAACATATATTGTAAAATGTCCGTGTAATTCAAGCAGTAATAAAGCATTTAAAGCTGGTTATATAAATAAATCATGTCAATAATAAGATGTCTGTCAGTGACACAAATGTTATATCAGAATAATAGTGGAGCAATGCTGGCAGCTTGTTGTTTGCGACCGGGCCAACTTTCTTTTGCGTACTTCTTTCGTTTTGGCTCTGACTCGTCGTTTTCTGCGAGAGTAAAGATTTAAGATTTAATTTGGTGGGTATTGGCAACATAATTTCTCGTACAATTAAAGAAAAAGCAGAAAGGATTGCTTTTAATAAGCAGCTGTAACTGAAAGTACAAAGTACATATATCATTAATTATTGTTACTGCCCTTAAAAGTAAAAGATCTCAAAGTAACGAACCTTGTCGTTGGAAGGGTTCCGGAACAACAGGTTTGACATTCCGGGACAGGTCGACTGGTTCTGGGGCACTGTTCACGACCGGCAGGTAACTGAAACAGGTAATATTGTACAGTTTCTCCTCATTGTAATCCATTCAAAAATATCCCAAAATCAACCTTTCAATCGTTCAAGTCAATGGTATGTTGAAAATGTATAGTATGTGCCAGAACATGTGGAGAATGCAATGTAGAGTATGCAGAACATGTGGAGAATGTATAGTATGCAGAACATGTGGAGAATGTATAGTATGCAGAACATGTGGAGAATGTATAGTATGCAGAACATGTGTAGAATGTATAGTATGCAGAACATGTGGAGAATGTATAGTATGCAGAACATATTGTGGAGAATGTATAGTATGCAGAACATATTGTGGAGAATGTATAGTATGCAGAACATGTGGAGAATGTATATCTAGTATGCAGAACATATGGAGAATGTATAGTATGCAGAACATGTGGAGAATGTATAGTATGCAGAACATGTGGAGAATGTATAGTATGCATAACATATTGTGGAGAATGTATAGTATGCAGAACATATTGTGGAGAATGTATAGTATGCAAAACATGTGGAGAATGTATAGTATGCAGAACATGTGGAGAATGTACCTAGCAGTGGGTTTTGTGGGTGTTTTAGTGGGCGAGGTGAGAGGAGGCATGTTAGCGTAGAGACTATTCTCCTTGACTTCACTGCTTCTACCACTGTCGTACAGTAACGTAGTTCCTGTGTTCTGAAGTTGGGAGATATGTTATCGGGGGAGGGAATTGGAAATTTCTTAAAAGCCGTACATAGTACAATGTACATTGTACATAGTACAATTATAGGATACATAATATTTAAATGGTATTAGGGTCCAGTTAAAAAAACTTTAACTCGACATACTTACACTTATTTAAATCCAACGACATTTTGACGACGGTTTAATCTTTGAATTCTTTTGTATCGATAATGATTAATATAATATATATTAAGTTTTACTTTTTTCTTCTTTTTTTTTCTTTTTTCTTTTTACTGTCAGCCAATATTATCTAATAATGTCTCTAACACTAATTCACCGCAAAGCAGCTGCAATGTGACAATTCTAAATTGATTCCACTTCAGACTGCATCATGACTGGATTTACTCTTCTCGATTGTAATGACGTTCTGACAAAACCCTTGAATGAGCTGCTGATCAGAAGAAATGAGACAGCATTAAATGAGGACTGTAAAAGTGGCAGTCCACGATAGTTAGTAAACTCAACAAAGTCCCAAAACGAACTCGAATTATTGTTGTTGAATATGTTCAAATAAATGGAGTAACTAACATTTATTACCAAAATCAAAACATTGAAAACGTTCATAGCAACAATAGCTTGAATACTTTTGTCAATGTTTCTACTGGACACTTCTGATGATGCAGTATCCGCATTTTTGAGATGAATTATCGTAAGTGTGCTGAATAGGCCTCCAAATAGCAGAAGTAAACCGTTTAGGGAAAGACTTATCATCGGCAATGTTCTTGCTACCGTTATATTTGCTGTTGAAACACCATCGAAAATCCTAAAGTAAGCGACTGGCTTCCATTGAACCTCAATTATTCTGGAAGATGTCTTTAATAGTCCCACGATAAAGAAAAAAGCACAAACAATATTTCTTTTACTGGCAGAAACGATAGGGTCTTTGATATGGATGTAGCGTAAAACACAAAGTAAAATCAACAAATCGATTTCCAAATCGTATGCAATCAAGAAGGCAGTGTTAGCATACGATGTCCAAGATATGGAACTTAGATTTAAATCTACGTAGTAGCTTGTATCATTTATTGACGACAGAAGTTTAGGAACCAGAGCAATCGGCGAGTAGATACTTTTAAATAAATCGATTGAGCTTATCAGTAGGAACAAGATTGTTGGCAGGGATTTCTTCTGTGTTGAATGATACCAGATAATAATAGGATACAGCGTTATTCCAATAATGAGACAACAGATAAACAGTGCTGCGAAGAAGTAGTTGAAGAATACATCCCAATCATTTCCAGTTCTAAACATTTCACTGACACCATTGTTTCTGACTGTAACGTTTCCAAAAATTGCCATCACTATTAAAACCAAATATTCAATTGTATTATAGGGATTATAGGTGTCTTATAAGAATAGCAGTTCTGTGGCTTAAGAACGACACAATTTGGCTTTATCGCTTGATCAGATATGATCAGGATTAAATTTCTCGTATCTTGCCAAGGTAATTGTCAACGTATCCAACGAAAAAGGAGATGAAATCTAAAGATGGAAATTGCCAACGCAAACTAAAACATCACACTGATACTAAACTGGCCAGAACTCATTATAAAGCTCCACCTTCACTGCATGATCTATAATATAATTACTAGTTGGAGCACGTGCGAAGCTGAGTTGGCAGCTGCAGGTGCCAGGTGATATAGTGTTTACAGGTAATCTTACTAACGACTCAATAAGCTATACAAACGTTCTGACTCCTGGTAGAGTCATTGTTTTTTCTAGAGTTCTAGTACAGTAAGCGAACGTATAGTAATTATTACTTCCAAGTGAGAGTGTGGCTGACAATTTAATAATAATTAAATAATTTCTGGTCGATTAAGAATAGGTTCAATGGGACCGTTCACATATTACGTAATCACGTTTGGCCAATGTCTAACCCCCTCCCCCTCCGCAATCAGTTTTACACGTCATAGCTATTGTGTCAAAATTACAATAGTGTAATTATTCATAACCCCCCCCCCCTCCCCCCTCGGCTGATTACGTAATTTATGTGAACGACCCTAATGTTTAAATATTAAGTTGATAAATTATAGATTTATAACTCATGACTTGTGATACCAGTGTGGGACCCTTTAGTAGCTAACAACAGGTGTGGTAGCAAGACATCCACGTGTTAAGACTCATCACACGATCATTTACCAAAGGCATCACATACTGCCCAGCTCCAGGGTCTAAAACAATTTCGCAATTTGCAAATTTTCCGTCTATTTTTAAAGTATTAAAGCGCCGAATCCTCATAATAATATAATAAACAGTACAGATTATGAATCTACTTTCATTTAAAGCCCTAAAATAAAAATTATCTTCCGAAATAATTGCAGCTCTCACCTCACTAGCAACAACAATACTGGAACTAATCATGTTCCTGAACCTCCCAATGGAAGGGTCCACTCACCTCACTAGCAACAACAATACTGGAACTAATCATGTTCCTGAACCTCCCAATGGAAGAGTCCACTCACCTCACTAGCAACAACAATACTGGAACTAATCATGTTCCTGAACCTCCCAATGGAAGGGTCCACTCACCTCACTAGCAACAACAATACTGGAACTAATCATGATCCTGAACCTCCCAATGGAAGGGTCCACTCACCTCACTAGCAACAACAATTATACTGGAACTAATCATGTTCCTGAACCTCCCAATGGAAGGGTCCACTCACCTCACTAGCAACAACAATACTGGAACTAATCATGTTCCTGAACCTCCCAATGGAAGGGTCCACTCACCTCACTAGCAACAACAATACTGGAACTAATCATGTTCCTGAACCTCCCAATGGAAGGGTCCACTCACCTCACTAGCAACAACAATACTGGAACTAATCATGTTCCTGAACCTCCCAATGGAAGGGACCACTCACCTCACTAGCAACAACAATACTGGAACTAATCATGTTCCTGAACCTCCCAATGGAAGGGACCACTCACCTCACTAGCAACAACAATACTGGAACTAATCATGTTCCTGAACCTCCCAATGGAAGGGTCCACTCACCTCACTAGCAACAACAATTATACTGGAACTAATCATGTTCCTGAACCTCCCAATGGAAGGGTCCACTCACCTCACTAGCAACAACAATACTGGAACTAATCATGTTCCTGAACCTCCCAATGGAAGAGTCCACTCACCTCACTAGCAACAACAATACTGGAACTAATCATGTTCCTGAACCTCCCAATGGAAGGGTCCACTCACCTCACTAGCAACAACAATACTGGAACTAATCATGTTCCTGAACCTCCCAATGGAAGGGTCCACTCACCTCACTAGCAACAACAATTATACTGGAACTAATCATGTTCCTGAACCTCCCAATGGAAGGGTCCACTTACCTCACTAGCAACAACAATACTGGAACTAATCATGTTCCTGAACCTCCCAATGGAAGGGTCCACTCACCTCACTAGCAACAACAATACTGGAACTAATCATGTTCCTGAACCTCCCAATGGAAGGGTCCACTCACCTCACTAGCAACAACAATACTGGAACTAATCATGTTCCTGAACCTCCCAATGGAAGGGACCACTCACCTCACTAGCAACAACAATACTGGAACTAATCATGTTCCTGAACCTCCCAATGGAAGGGACCACTCACCTCACTAGCAACAACAATACTGGAACTAATCATGTTCCTGAACCTCTTAATGGAAGGGTCCACTCACCTCACTAGCAACAACAATACTGGAACTAATCATGTTCCTGAACCTCCCAATGGAAGGGTCCACGTCCTCCGGATTGATCACTTCTTGTTCCTCGTTAAAAGATATGTTCCCACCCTCGCTTTGTTTCCTTTTTCTCTGCTCTGTCTTGTCTCCTGTAGTTGCTATCACTACACGCTTGTTGTGCGCTGTGTTGAATTCTGTCAGGTCGTCTAGCTCCTTCTCGTTTTCTATTCCTGGGGTGGAACTATTTTAAAACTTGTATCTTGAAATGTTAACATAGGAACTGCCCTATGAGTTAATGAGTACTAATTACTATACTACTATACCCGGGACATAATGAATGGAAAAGCAATGAGTGGTAGAGTTTAAAATAATAATATAAGTCAACACTACAAATCTATCATTTTATTGAGGATGTAAATGTATTTATGAGTAATAAAGTCTTTGTATTGGACCAGCTGTTAAAAGCATCAAACATATTATCTTCAATAAACTCTAACGACACAATGCTCTAAAGTAAATATATTTACCTAAAAGTTCTTTCAGCTGTTTGTTCTCCCCCTGTATGGAGTACAGAGCCTGAGTTCCCTGGGGTCTTTCACGAAGTGTGTAGGTACGAGAAGAAGCACCAAAGTGGATACACTGGTCGACTAGCAACTGTTTGGGTGTGTGTGGCTCTAGTCTTATTGAACCAATGAACGAGCCGTGAGCTGAAATTGCAGGTATTTTAATCATAATTTAAGATATTTCCTATTTTTATGATCTTCAAAATGGTTCTTTCGTAGGCTCAACTCAATGATAAGTACACCATAGTTTGAATTCCATTTGTTAACAAGTTTTTCAACAAAAACGTAACATTCCATCGATGAACTCACTGCTTTTCAAGTCTATAATAAAGGACCTCTTCAGGATCTTGTGATAAACAAGGGCTGCGTGATACCTGCTGGCGGAGCCATGGTCTATCGTTACATCAACTACATCTGCGTTCCTTCCTGCAAATGTGTTGTCCACTGATTCACAGCCCGGACTAACGTATGGTCATTATATCAATTCAGATTGAAATCTCTGCTTTTTTCAGGGATTCACAGCATTGTTCGAATATTAACAAGAAAGTATTTACCTAAAAGTGCATCAAGACATACCAAACAAGTAATACGATTTTTCGTCAATCATCTTCTTCTCGATCAGCTTCTCACTTTTGTGAACATCTAAATGTAGTCCAGGTGGAGGTTTGCCAACCCTAGTGAAATAAACGTTCTAGATCGGTGAAGTAGACCTTCTGAGGTACTACACTTTTGTTTCTCTAGAGCAGAGTAGTGAAGTTTTACTTCTAGATCATTCGCACAACACACTCACACATTACTTGATTTAAATACAAACTCACGGACGCAACATTCCATAACTTAGAATGCAGATTCAAGACATCATGAAACATCGCTTACTTAGAAATTTGAGACTAATTTAACTAAACAATTAGGTAAAATCTTTGCTAAAAGTTTACATAATCTCACCAATCAGGAGGAGTAAAAGCTTTGACTCTCTCAGCTTCCTTATCAAACTTCCTCTTAGGGGGCTTTACCCGACCACGTGACTGCTGCATACCAGTGTTAACTATGTCATCCTGAGGTTGTTCATTAAACCATGCTATCTAGATTTATATTTCTCATTGGAACTTATTAAACAGATTTTCCACCATGACTTGGCTTGTACCAATGAAGCACTGAACAAGAAACGCCACGTAAGGTTTTAGGGTTTTACCATATATTTCATACTGAGGATTGATCTACTAACGCTTGATAAGATAATTGTGTTTGATAACAATACTAGTGAATTATCACTGCACTCGTGTCAATCATTGCAGCACTGATAGAAATGAATACAATACCTTTGAAATGTTGAACAATCATTATACATAATTATTATTGAAGTCACATAACACTTAACAGTACAGAGCCTCATTCACCATTTACAGTAAGCACCTACTAACAAAATAAATATAACAAGATAACAAAAACGTGCCATGTTTTCAGCTCAGATAGATTAAGGGTTTTCTCTCATATTAGAGAAATAACTTAAAGAGTGTATCTATATTCACAAAAGCAAGATTGACAACCAAAATATGAACGTACCACTTAAGGTCACTAATGAGACCATTATCAACTTTTAGCGTTTAGTAATATAATACGACATTTAAGATGCGTCATGTGTAATTGCACTGCACTGCAGGCTGTAATAGATTAATCTCAACCATTTAGTAATTGCCAACAGTGCATAGAAAATAAGATAACGGTAAACGCCAATTTTAAAAACTGACAGCTAGAACTGCAGATCAGGTCAACAGTGGACAGGTAAAACGGTTTTATACACCTCTGGGGTATATTATAAACAGTTCGACTTGTTTCTCCATTTTAATATCATCAGGACGAATATCACTACTAGACCTTTTAGGCACACTTTACTTACATCATATTATCTTGTCAAAGTAAAATGACTCTCCGAAGTAGGCATTGTGATCACAAATCATATAACTCATTTGCAGTATAAAAAACACTTCATAAACCTTAATCCTTGTGTCTTACTGGTTTCATTTTAGGTTTTGACGGAGATCCTAAATGTAGTGAAACTTGCCTTCCAGTTTTTGTGGATTTTCCGGCTACTCTGTTATTTGAAACCTTCTTAGCTTCAACTTTAGCGTTGTGAGCTTTCAGCCGTGTTCTGATGAAATCATCTAGATCCTCATCATCTGAGGACTCACAAGTAGCGGTTCTTGGAGGAGAGGGTGTTTCGACAGAATACCGAGGTTTAAGTTCACTTGCTCTTGATTTCAGCTTACCCTTACCAGGCGTTTTAGAGTTTATTATAGACATGACGTTACTGCTCGCTCCAAATGGACCATCAGATCGATTTTGTGTTTGACGGAGAGGCTTCATCCTACCTGATTCTTTAGTAGGAGGAACTTTCTTGTTAGGTAAGGGGTTCTTTGTGCTGGTTTGTGTTTTTGAAGATACTGAAGAAACTTTGTTTGCTAATGAACTTGAAGACTGAGGACGTTTCGACGCAGCAGCTTTCGATTTTATGATAGGTTTACTGGCGACTGTATTTTTTGTAGGTTTTGCAGAGTTTTTCTGTGATGACAGATTTTTTCCGGGAGCTTTGGATTTTGAGGTAATTTTATCAGCATTACGAAGAACAGGTTTTTGAACCACAGATTTATGAACAACAGGTTTTTGAACCACAGATTTATGAACAACAGGGTTCTTTGAAACTGTCGAGCTTGATGACTTTGTTGGAGCAGGTTTCCTTGGATTTCCTGCCCCTGGTTGAAATTGAGAATGAGGTTTGAAAACTTTACCTGACGATGAATATTTTGAAACACGATTTTCAAAAGGATCAGAATTTTTTGGATGTTTAGAAACTTTCAGTTCAAATGATTGGGGAGAAATGGCTGAACTGAGAGGTATTTCAACAGCATTCACTTTGCTAGACTCTGGAATAGTGTCTGTTACTTTGAGTTCATTCGATCGAGGAGATACGACCGAACTGTGAGGCACTCTCACAGCATTCACTTTGCTAGACTCTGAGATAGAGTTAGAGACTTTGAGTTCATTTGATTGTGAAGAAACGACTGAACTATTAGGCACTCTCGCAGCATTCACTTTGCTAGACTCTGAGATAGAGTTAGAGACTTTGAGTTCATTTGATTGAGAAGAAATGACCGAACTGTCAGGCACTCTCACAACATTCACTTTGCTAGACTCAGATACAGTCCCAGGTAGAGTAATAGAACTTGGAAAGCCACTTGTGTACTTTGACGATTTGTTTTTCATAAGTAATGGAGCACAGCTTCTTCGTTTAGCAGTTTTTGAAGCAATTTTTGGAACATCTTTGAAAGTGGCTTTCTCATTTTCAACTTTTGGTTTTGATTGCTCTAAAGCTGATTTGGTAGATTCGTTTGAAGCAGGCAATTTGATAGTTTTATGCTGAATTCGCTTGTTGTGTGCACGTAGCATTTCACAGATCTCGTCATCATCACTAGAAGAGAACTGAAGTTTGTTAGATAAAAGTTTGGGAGGTTTACCATTGACCATTGTTTTGGGTCTACTTCTCTGTTTGACATTAGGAGTTTTTGAAATATCCAAAACAGGAGACGTTTCTAGAGATTCCAGCTGTTCTGACCTTATGATGCACTCTGGAGTTCGAAGATGGGGTTGCAATGAAGCAAACCACCTAACGTCAGCTTCCCTGAAATATGAGTTCGATAAGGATACAATACTTCTCAATACTGCACAATAATTAAACTAATTACAACACTACAAATCTATCTATCTATTACATTTATTGAGGACGTTAAAGAAAGAATATATTTAATGTAGTTTGAGGAGTCTTCACTCTCCTCACGTCCGACAATGGCGTTTCTCTTGTCGCTAATATAATCACCTCAGGTAGAGTAAATCAAATAATCATAACTTTGTCTGATTTAGATCTTATCGACAAATCAACAAGATTATGCAAAAACTATAAAACATGATATTATATGATCGCCTTTGAACCGTGATAAAACCTGTCTTCATAGCATTCTTCTTCGAAATTGATCCAGTTTGGACAATCTATATTATCAACATCTGCAGAAAAGTATTGAAGTGTGCATTCATCTTCTTCTTCCATTTCGTCTGATTAACATTTTTGGTCATAACCTAGTGGTAGATGTCATAATTGAGATATTATATAGAGATAGCCATAAACCAATTAATCATGTTTTCCATGTTATTGAACGGTTTCATTTGTCTGTTTTGCGGCTTCAGTTTTGAGGCTTTAATTTTCGTGTCGTGAATTTGTGGGCCCAGTCTCCAAACAGTAGAGTAGACAATTTCTACCCAACAGACAAAATTGGTAAAGAAAACTAATTATTCTACAAACTTAAAGAAAGAATATCTTTGAATGTAATGAACTATCATAATTTACAGACTAGAAGTTATTAAATACTCTAAAACATTATTCACTATAATCAAGAATTTGATGGACCTCAAAATGACGAAAATTACTATGCTTGGCAGAAATATTCATTAGATCGTGGATAGGTACTCCCTTAATCATTCATATTTTCAAAATAACTTAATTCTTAAGGACCTAATAAAAGTTATGCAATGTTAGAACTTGCACAAATAAATTAAGGTCTCATCAAGTTCACCATTTCATAGTTCATACACTTGATTAAATCAATGATGGCCATGAGCATGATCATCAGGAAAGTCTCGTAGCTTGTTTCCTTCCTTGTGAAACTCAGTTGGGTCGACGAATTTGCCATCATGATCCATCTCTCCAAAGATTTGTTTGTACTTGTTGCGCAGCGGTGCAGGAAACTCGTAAGATCTTCGGACCTCCTCGGTGGGATACTCATCAAAAGTGTAGATGAAGTTCCGAGTTACATATTCAGTTGCCACTAGTGCGGACAGAGTGATAGCACCATATATCTTTGCTTGTGACCTGAAGTTTTAAAAATGATTAGGTTTTGAACTTACTGACAGTCATATTGCTTTTAACTGGAACCCATTGATGTTTTTTGGAAATTTAAACTTTAATTACAAATTACAAATTTACATTAAAGCATTTGGCAAGTTTCCATAAACGATATTTTATGATCGGCGCCGATAATCGCTTATTGAGCGCTTTTTCGGCGCTTTTTTTAAAAAAACCCGTTTACAATCGCTTTTTTTACGATTATAAACGGTTCAAAAAAAATCGCTTATAATCGACTATAATTGGTGTCATAATTCAAAAAAGCGCTTTTTTGAATTTAGCGATTTGAAAAAAGCGCTTATAAGCGCTTTCTAATTCCTGCCAACCAGCCCATGGGTGATGGGAAAAGCGGTAGATAAGCGATCATAAGCGCCTATAAGCGCTTTTAAATCCTGACTCTGCCGGTGCACCCCAGTTTGCTCAGAAAAGCACATACGAGTGGGCACTCTCCAGTTCCGACCAGGTTGAAGGGAATTGAGAAATCGCTTATAACTATAAGCGCTTTTAAATTCCGAGCACTCCCCCGTTCCGACCAGGTTAGGGGCAGCATTGAAAAAGTGCTTATAAGCGCCTTTTAATTCTGGGCACTCCCACGTTGCGACCAGGTTAGTGGCAGCATTGAAAAAGCGCTTAAATAAGCGCTTTCTAATTCCTGCCAACCAGGCCATGGGCGATAGGAAAAGCGGTAGAAAAGCTTTTAAATCCTGACTCTGCCGGTGCACCCCAGGTTGCACAGAAAAGAACTTATAAGCGGGCACTCTGATTTCTAGTTCCGACCAGGTTAATTAAGGGGAATTGAGAAATCGCTTATAAGCGCTTATTAATTCCAGGCACTCCCCCGTTCCGACCAGGTTAGGGGCAGCATTGAAAAAACGCTTATAAGCGCTTTATAATTCTTGCCAACCAGGCCATGGGTGATGGGAAAAGCAGTAGAAAAGCAATCATAAGCGCCTATAAGCGCTTTTAAATCCTGACTCTGCCGGTGCACCCCAGGTTGCTCAGAAAAGCACATGCAAGTGGGCACTCTCCAGTTCCGACCAGGTTGAAGAGAATTGAGAAATCGTTTATAAGTGCTTTTTAATTCCGGGCACACCCCCGTTCCGAACAGGTTAGGGGCAGCATTGAAAAAGCGCTTATAAGCGCTTTCTAATTCCTGCCAACCAGGCCATGGGTGATAGGAAAAGTGGTAGAAAAGCGATCATAAGCGCTTTTTAATCCTGACTCTGCCGGTGCACCCCAGGTTGCTCAGAAAAGCACTTATAAGCGGGCACTCTGATTTCCAGTTCCAACCAGGTTAAGGGGAATTGAGAAATCGCTTATAAGCGCTTTTAAATTCCGGGCACTACCCCGTTCCGACCAGGTTAGGGGCAGCATCGAAAAAGCGCTTATAAGCGCTTTTTAATTCCTGCTCACCTGGCCATGGATGATAGGAAAAGCGGTAAAAGCGGTGAAATAGCGATGAATTAGCCGTAATAAGCGATTTCTAAAAAAACGCTTATAATCGATTATAAGCGGTTATAAGATGTAATATAGCGTTTTCCTGACTCAATTTTAAAAGCGCTTATAAGCGCTTTATTTGCGCTTTACAAACAGCTAAATTGAACCCCAATTATAAGCGTTTATAATCGCTTATAAATGGTTCAAAAAAGCGCCTACGAATCGCTTATCCGGCCAACCGCTTATCCACCCGTTTTTGGCGCCAATCCTACTGGAAAACCGCTTTCAAATCGCTCAGTGACGCTAGTAAGCGCTTAAAAGCGCTTATAAGGACACGTTCATAAAAAGGTGGCACTAGAGATTGATTTTTCACTGCCAAAATTGTGTGAAGCATTTTAAAATACTTGTATCTCAAGGAGTATGCTATGAAAGTTAACCAAATTTTAATATGTGGTCCAAAAAGATTCAAATATCACATAATTAAGTCATTCATCTCTTTATATCTGTTAATTGTGCAGATATGAGCCAGAAATCACAAAATATTCATTTCTTGCACCTCTAATGATGAATTTACATTCTGTGAGTGTGTCCTGCTTCTCAATGTGATTATTGAACCTTTTTGAGATAGTTGAGTGTTAAAAGTGCAAAGTATCACCGGTTAAATGTGGAGTTACGATGCAATTATCACACACAGGGTTAATTCTGACTAAGTGTTTTAGAATGGTGAATGTGATATGAATATCAACGGAACGATTGTAACAATGAACTCTATCAATCACAATTATATCGTGCTAACTAATATTTAGAGAATTTAGATGGTTAAAAGTGCCATAATGAGTCAAAAATCACATAAATGAGCATGTATTGAAATTATGCTGTATCAGGGGAATGTATCACTTTTTGGCTCTATATCAGGTTGGTATTCATAGTAAATGTGCAGTAATTTGTTGTGACACTTGTTTATGGTCATGGAGAAGTTCGTTATTAGAGTAATAGTGGAATCAATAATCACAAGACGCTGATTTTAAACTGAGTAAACTAGGCAAGTACGTTTACTACTCAAGCCATGATAATTTTGTCGCCATAATGTGACAAATGAATCATATCAGTAACATATAATACTTAATCGGATTTTTGAAATGTGATTATCGATTCATTACCTTTCCTTTCAAAATGTCATTACAACTTGAACATTACATATGATTCAATTATCACACTTTAAAGGAAATTACATATTTGGTAGCCAGATTTGTGTGATTTTTGAATCATTTAAGCACCCAGATCAAAAATTATCACTCAAAGGCCTTCAATATGGTATAAGCTTAGACATGGATTCAAAAATCACATAATAAGAATCATAGAATGGAGATAAATTGTCATATCGTGCACTTAATTTAAGACTTACTATAGTGTGACTTAATAGCGCACCTTTAACGAAAATGTGATTTTTGAATCATATTAACTGGTTTTAATACTATTTAATACTATTTTGTACCCTAAAAAATGATAGAAAGCCAATAAAAACGTAAGATGATTCAATAATCACTGCTCAAAATAGGCTCATTTCCAACGTTTAAGTTGTGATTTTTGAATCATTTTGGCACCAATAACAATTTCAGATAAGACATTCCATTCCTTACATGCATTATAATCACCATATCAATTTTGGCGTCTTTGTGAATAGTACTTTTCAGATTATCTAGTGTTGATTCATCTTGCATTTCTAATTGTGTGATATTTGAATCATTGGCACACAAATAACGATAACTCCTGTGATATAAGCACTAGAGACTCCGTGATTTCAGGATCATGAAATTTAATCGAATTTCTAAAGGTATAGATAGATATATCAACCAACAAAGAACAATGACTATTTTTAAAACGCATTTTAAAAAATCAATCTCTAGTGCCACCTTTTTTTGAACGTGTCCATAAGCGCTTTTAAATTCAAAAAAGCGCTTTTTTGAATTATGACACCAATTATAGTCGATTATAAGCGATTTTTTTTGAACCGTTTATAATCGTAAAAAAAGCGATTGTAAACGGGTTTTTTTTAAAAAAGCGCCGAAAAAGCGCTCAATAAGCGATTATCGGCGCCGATCATAAAATATCGTTTATGGAAACTTGCCAAGCATTTAACACTAAAGTTTACTTTGACAGTCTGAAAGTATAATCAACTCACCATTTGTACTTGACCGGATCAGCTACATGCCAATAACAACCCCACAGTGATTCTATGAAAAAAGGGTATCTCTGCCTTGGCATAGGCCCCATATTGCTATCTAGGGGAATTATTCATATTATTCAACATGATTATTAGACCATCATTTTTATCACCTAGAAATACCTACATTGAAAAATGTTTGTTCGATTGAATATAAGAAAATGGTTTTGTTCCTTTGTCCCTGTGTTTAGTGATTACTATGTATCCTGTGGATAAATGCAGGAGCAATATCCAGAAGAAAGAATCTGACTCTGGCTTTAAGTGAAATATTCGAACAATAAAACAGTAAATAAGTAAAATTTAAGTGAAAAAAGTTTAAAATTCTACCCTTTATAGTTTATTTACTTATTTACAATCAAATAATGTCAATATAAAAAATCATTTTTGATAGTTTTTAAAAGGAAAAATGTATAATATTATATTTATTACATATTTATGTACATTGTACCGTCTATATGAATTAAATATATATAAAATACCTAACTGTAAACTGTTCATGTTACACGGTAGATATAGGTTAAACTAAAAGTGACGTAATCTAGTTACTTAAATAAGAAAAGCAAAAGTTAACATAGTTAGAAAAAAATTGTAGAAAATCAGCAAAAAATAATTTCAATGAAAGAAGAGATATTGGAGCACGAATATGTCTAATAATTAGATTCTACTTTACAATCTACATTCCTCCCGACGGCAATATCTGAGACAAGTTTTTCTGCCTCAAGCAGCACTTTCATCATCTTAGATGAAGCTTTTCGCTTTTAGTCACCCGATCAGATTCCTGGACCAAATCATTGATCTTTTCCTCTGTGTAGAGAGATTTAATCAAGATACTGTTCAAGTTTGTTGCTAGTTTTCTGACAAAGAACTTCATCACAATTTTAGGGATCATGTCCACCAGATGAGCCCTAACAATACAGAAGTAGTGGATCAGTAGCTTCTCCATCAGCTCAGCCTCTTTGTTTGCTCTCTCCTCACTCGAAGCATCTTCTCCTCGCTTGTACTTGGTCATCAGCTTGTCAAGAACATTCTCTTTTGTGGCGGGTTGATGGTAGGTGCCAAATAGGTTAGTGTTCTGTTTTTGTTTCTGTTTCTCTTCCTGTTTGTCGGGTTCAGCAAAGAGGGCTGCAGCTACTTGGTACCTTTCTATGAATTCTGGGTGATTGGTGTTGATGTAGGATTTCTCGACTTCCAGATATTCTGCCATGAACTCTTTAGCATCACGTGATTGTTTTGAAAGGAAATCTTTGGATATGTTGATGACTTCTCTTTCTAGTTTGGGGTACCGAATCATAGCTTTGGCAGCGACCATATCAATAGCCTCTGCAATGCACTGATGAGATTTAGTGATGGCATTTTCAGAGGGCCGATCGAACATGTCAAGTTGCTTTGTAATCAGGGTGTTGAAAACTCCATCAGGGATAAATAGTGCAGGTTGTACTCCACTTGTACTTTTGATAACTTTCTTTAGATTCTCAAGGTTTTTGTCAGCAGGAATCATAGATAATCTGTTAGTACAGTCCTCCTGAAAGACATTAAACAGTTCAGCTCCTGCAGAGGTTGTCTCTGGTATCAGAGCAACTTCGTTTACAGTCTTTAGTTTGGATCCAGTAGGGATTTTCCGCTTCGGAGGGCTAGCATTAGGGTCGGGTCTCAAAACAGTATAGGTATACTTCCCTTCGATAGACTTAGTTAAACTATCAGCAAAATGAGACAGAAGCATAATCATGGCCTGGTTTGGATCAGTAGGTTCATCTCCTATGTCCTTAATAATAATAAATATGTAACATTTATAAACCGCCTTATAGCTAAATCATATAACTCGATATAATTTAATCCTGGAGATAAACTCCAGTGCTTTCTAAAGCGGCTCTTACATTAACTGAGCTTAGTTTAATTGAAAATTAGACATGACAAGTTCATTTTACCTATGTAAATGCAAAATCAATCAAATGCTAGAGAAAAGAAGTATGTTTTAAGTTTGGTCTTGAAAGATGTAACTGACTCAGCTGATCTTATGTCGTATGGCAAGGAATTAAATACTTTAACTGCACAGTGACTAAAAGCTTTCTCTGTGTTTACATAGTTAGGAGAGGGCGGAAAACTAAGGTAAAAATAATCATTATCAAGACGTACATTTTTAAAACTTTGCTGCCTAGGAGATATCAACTCTTTTAAGTAAGGAGGAGCTATATTATTTAAACACTTGTAGGCAAGTAGGGCAATCTTAAAATCTATTCTAAATCTAACTGGTAGAAAATGAACTTTCTTAAGTAGTGGAGTAGTGTGTGCCTTTCTTCCTCTCCCGAAAATAAATCTTACAGCAGAATTTTGCACCTTCTGTAAACGACTTAAATCATAAGAGCTCAGTCCAAAATATACGCTATTGCAATAATCAATTCTAGAGAGTACTAGAGCATGAACAAGCTGAATCTTAAGGTTAAAAGACAGTTTTGATGCAATAAACCACAAATTTCTGATCTGAATATTACATGCTTGAACCACTGACGTAATCTGATCACTCATTGAAAGATAACTGTCCAAATACAGCCCAAGACTCTTCACAGTTCCACTAACAACATGTGGCTCTTGATCCTTAACAATCTGTAGAGAGGCTGGAATATTTTGTGAGTCAAATTTAGAGGATATAACGATGACTTCAGTCTTAGAAGAATTCAGTTGAAGGAAATTGTTTGTCATCCATTTCTTGATATCAGACATACAGTGTTCCATATTGTGCTCTAGCTGTGATGGGTCATCAGAATCAAGAGTGAAATACAGCTGGGTGTCATCAGCATACAAATGAATACAGCACCCATGCATACTTGCAATGTTCTCAAGATCTTTGGTGTACAATATGAATAGCAGGGGGCCAAGGATTGAACCTTGTGGCACACCTATCTCAAGAACAGTTGCTGAGGAAGACGAATCCTTGACTTTGACACAAAATGAACGGTTAGCCAAGTAGGACCTGATCCATGTAAGAGCTATGCCTGTAATACCATAAGCAGATCTTAGCTTCTTGATTAATCTTGGGTGATTGACAGTATCAAAGGCAGCACTCAAATCTAGAAGTAAAAGAACAACTTTAGTTTTCTTGTCAATAGTTATCAAGATGTCGTTATGGATTCTGGTTGTTGCAGTTTCACAGCTATGAAACTTCCTATAGCCGGACTGAACTTTTGAAAGCAAGTTGTTATCCTCAAGATAACTGGTGAGCTGTATAGATACACACTTCTCAATGATTTTTGACAAGAATGAGAGATTGCTAATAGGCCTATAGTTAGATAGAGATTCACCGTCAAGGCCACGTTTCTTCAAACTTGGACGAATGAGAGCCTCCTTAAGTTTTATAGGAAACTCACCTTTAACTAATGATTCATTGACTATAAATGAGATCAGAGGAAGGAGTTCTGGGAGACACTTGATGAGAATCTTTGTAGGTATGGGGTCAAGATCACAGAATTTGTTAGACATATTCTTTATGATGCTTACTAGTTCTTCATCAGACACATGACGGAATTGTACTATCTTTGGGCTATTAGAAAGAGGAACAAATTCATCTGAGTTAGGAGAATCTTGGGATTGTTGTTCTAAATAAATGTTGTTGTATATGTTGTCGACCTTTGATTTAAAGAACTGTGCAAAGTTGTTAGCACTCTCAAGATTTGAAGAGCAAGAAGGTGTAGTAGTACTAACTTTTTCTTTATTGAGCAACTTATTAACGATGGAATAAGTCTTTTTAGCATCACCTGCACTATCTTGTAACCTTGTTTTGTAGAAGTGATCTCTTGTGGATACAATGACTGAGGATGCTCTCTCTGATGCTTTCCTGTACAGTTGTTTATAATCTGGGCAATCATGATTCTTTTGATACAGTCTCTCAATCTTTCTTCTCATTGCTTTTGCTAGTTGACAGTGTGTAGACCACCATTCAGCGTTATGATCTTTTCTTGGGATGAAAGTTTTTTCTTTAGCATGCTTGTCCAAAATACTGCTCAGCTCAGACTCATAGATATCAACTGCACTATCAAGGTCATTGAAGCAATCGGTGTCACATAGTTTTGACTTAAGAATGTCCTCAACAAAAGCATCTAGGTCTATGCAAGCAATGTTTCTGTAAGTAATTGGTTCTAGAGTGCCTATGGGTGCTGGAGATACATTGCAATTAAAAGCAACAAAGTAGTGGTCAGACGATGTGCCAGAATCAGTAATGACAGGATCTAGAACTTCAATGCAATCGTGAGTAAAAGAACCATCCCTGGTAATTACAAGATCTAATATGCCCCCATCTCTGTGTGTTGCAGCTGAAATTTGTTGCACCCACCCACAAGACTTAAGTAGTGAATTAAACCTTTGTGCAACTGAATCATTTTCGTCTTCAATGTGGATATTAAAATCACCCATGATCAAGGGCTTTCCAGGTTTGTCTACTAAATCAACTAAATCAACCAAGAGTTGCTCAAAGTCAGTTAGAAATTGGGGGATGTTAGCACTCTGAGATGTGGAGGTGCCAGAACGCGAACGGTAAATTGAAACAATTCGTAGTATATCTCCAGAAGATGATTTGAATGTACATTCACAAGACTCAAACGTTTTGAATCGCTTGCACTACTGAGGAGTCACTTTAAGACTTTTCTTATATAGAACAGCAACACCTCCTCCCCGCCCAGCTCTTGGCTGGCTATGAATGGAATATCCAAGTTCTTTCATCTCAGAAAACTTAGCATTGTCATCTTTTCTCAGCCAAGTTTCTGTAGCACAGCAAATATCAGTATCAAAGTCTTCAAGCAATTGCAAGACTCCAGCAGTTTTATTGCAGATGGATCTGCAATTGAACAGGGCAAAGTTCATACTCTGACATTCTGACTTAGAGTTTGTAGCTAGTTTTTTGAAGTAAGGATGTTTTGTTTATACCGATTCAATGCCTGTTGCATGATGGGGCACTGCTCTGAGCTGGAATGGTGAGTGTTACAGTGAGATGAGATTCTTGGATCTTTTGACAGACTGCAATTGCGACATCTATGTCTGCTAGGGTCTTCCTTGTAATGACAGTCTGATGTTCTATGCCTACCGCTGCAATACATACAAACCAGAGTTTCTTTCTCAGGACAATTTTGGGAAATATGGTGGAGCTTCTGACAATTATAGCACTGCTTGATGATGAATCTATCCTTTACAGGACAAGCACTATTCAGAATGAAGATTTTGCCGTCTCCTGTCAATAGGTTCCTAATCTGAGGAGAGACCTTGATCCCAGCAGTAGTGTACCTTAGTCCAACATTTATGTACACAATTTCAAAGAAATGCTCATTATCTAGCAAGTGTTTAAGTCCAGGATTTTTCAAGGGAATAATATCTAGAAGAGCTTTTTTAGTCTGTAACCGGAAATCTTCAGCGGGCAAACCAGAGCGATCAATGGTTTCGAATATCTGACTGGGAATATTAGACACAGTGACCTTAGGGAGAGCTTTCTGTGAGAGAGTGATGTGAAAACCAAGTAATTTAATGACATCAGAGTTTTCAATAAGACTTTTAGCCTTCAGCCTATCAGATGAAGATGGAAAAACTAGCGTTATCTTCTTATGTGAATCTAGTAGGCTAGTTTTCATAGCAATCAATCGTGTGTCATAGAGCAACTCAGATAGAACATCTGGAGCAGATGAAATATCAGCAGAAGGAAGGGGACTATCTAGCACCAATATCTCTTTACTTTCCTTGCCAATTTGATTTATGTTAGCGGACACTTTACTTGGCTGAGGAGAACTAGCACCACCTACAAGAGCTTCAGCAAAATTGCTGTAAGAGGACAGTGCACTTGGAGACCGGGATTGCAAGTTTTCTTTGTTAACATTAGAAACTTGCTCTTCCAGCAAATGTTCAGAGGCTGGAGCACATAGAGCAAGCTTGTCGACAATAATGCTATGCATTTCCTCACGAAATGATTCCAGAAGGGCAGAGTTGTTTGCCCTCATCAGATGCTCAACTTTGGAGAGAATATCAGGAGCTTCATCATGACCATTATCATGACTCATCACAGGGTTGGACTTAGGAGCATCTACCACAGATGGTACAGGTGGACCAGGTGGAGAAAAGTTTTTGGAAGAACGGGTGTCATCTACCAGTGAAATGCAATCTTCACATACGAATAGAAAATAACCCCAACGAGCTTGATCTGCAATCATAGGCCTCACCTTAGCACGGAAGGTATTTGTACAAATGGACTCCCATCACAGACATTACAGATAATCGATTCATTCACAGTGTCATTACTCCCACACTGTTTACACGAGCCGTCTTCAAATACAGGAAGTATAACAGAGTTCTTCTTTGGCTTTAGAGTCTTCTTGAGCTTCTTCCCACATCCAGAAAGTTTTATATTTCCTCCCAGATGCATTTTTTTCTAAATTCTGTGGCCCGCTCGCTTCGCTCGCAAGTTTGGGGAGGGGGCTGTCGGCGAGCAAAGCAAGTCGACGTGTCCAATCCAGCTGCGCAGCAAGTTAAGCGAGCAAGCTGTGGCAGGGGTCTGGGGGCGCAGCCCCCCGGAAATTTTTTGCGAAATAGGGTGTTTTAGACGGCATTTGGCATTAAAGAAATTTGTAGGACAGCAATAAACTGGGATTGAAAAGAATCAAGTACTCACGTAAATTTGATAACTTCACAACAGCAATCTGCATTCTCCAATCAGAATATTTCATTGTGTTCCAAAACTGACAGGATGTTCCTCTTTGATTTTTATACAATCGAAATATTTTCTTCAAAAATTTTCTCAATTAATTTGTCTTCATTCCAAAAAAATATTTCGAAATTTAGGAGTAACTTCTCAAAAATTTCCTCTTTTTCTCCCGTTTTTCCTCCCAAAAAAAAATTTCCTCCCAGGCTGCCTGGCAAGATGGCGTGTTTCTGGATGTGGGAGCTTCTTACTGGCCAGGGCCTCGTGCCCCTTTTGGCCCGCCATTGACATTGCTTCCTGAAACTCAATAAATATATTTAATTGTAGTTGTGAAAATAGTTTAAGGATCTCCCGATGAAAAACCTGTTGTTGACTAATCTTTTCTGCAAGCATGGGTAGACATCTCTTTAGATGACTAATGAGGATGTCACACAGCTGTGATGTGAGGTACTCAGTACCCATTCTATCTGCTATACCAGGGTAGTATCTCAGAAAATAGTTCTCTTCAATAGCAAGGATCTTCTCAATAGGAGTCTTCACAGTAAGCTGCTTGTTGTTTCTGTTTATAACTCCGATCAGTCCCAGCTTCACGTCCACAGAAGTTCCGTTTAGAACAGCACTTGACTCATCGTTGTTCTCCATGAGGTCACATTTAGTTATGACAGCTATTGTGCGGGATCCAGTAGGATCGACCTCTCTTGCAAGTTTCAATGAGTCTGAGTTTGCAATATCAACGTTCCCTGCAGACACTGCTAGGATTATGCTGTTCTCATTGACAATGTAAGATCTAACAAGACTCTCAATCCTCTGGTCGATGTCCCTGGGCTGGTCTCCCACAGGTATCTTAGTGAGACCTGGGAGATCTACTAGTGTTAAAGAGGGGATTCTGGTAGAGTATAGCTTCAGGTGTATTGGATCATTGGAGATACCCTTGTTAGACCCACATTTCTTGTTTGTATCATCAATAATCTCCTTTTGTATAGAGTCCATGTTTGTGTAAAATTTATCTCCTTGATGTAAGAACTGCGCCCAGGTATCATGTGTTTTACCAGAGATAACTTTCTTGCTGGCAGCTTGAATCATCTGTAGGACTAGAGGTCGTCTGGTTACTATCCCCATCCCCCGGGGTAGGAAATTCTGCTTGGCAATGTTCTCCAGTACAGAACTCTTTCCAGTAGATTGGGAACCTACTACGACTATCTGAGGTAAGTCTATCTCCTTGGAGGACACTCCGGCTGTGGTGAAGACATCCTGGAGTTTGTTGAGGGTTGCAAGGAAACGATCCATTACTGTCACACTATGAGTAGAAGTTGAGTCAGGTGTTAATGGATTTCAACAAGTATAAACAGCTTTATTAACAGAAAAGTCTACTTGTGTACAATCTTATCTAATAACAAATATTTAAGATCTATTTAAATATCCTGTAACTTTCTTATGTGTGAGTACTGCAAAGTGATGTGTTATGTCCTGAGCAGCAGATAGATGTTGGAAGATTACCAACCAGTAAGGATCAAGCTCGTTATCTCAATCTACTTTGCATGATCTGTGGTCATGGTCGAGATCATTCTGAACTTAACATATGTGTAGAAAGTGAAGTTTTATGGAGTCAAGCATGATGAGTTTATACACATCTTCTTCTCGTATCTTCTTCCCATATAAAGACCAATACCAAAGATAAATAGAAATTATGATTTATGGGAAAAGCAATTTATTTTCTGTTAGACCATAATAATAGAGAAATGTGAAAAATATTCAAACAATATACACATAATATATAGCAATGACCCTATATAAAAATTCTTTAAAAATGGTACAAATTTTAAAAACTTAGACCATAATAAACTGAGTATTGAGTATTGAGTTGCATGTTGCATAAGTTTACGAAACAGAGAATGTTGGAGAGAATTAATTACAATTTTAGGTCATCATGGGAAAGCTTTCATGTTTGAGCAAATTTTTGCTGATACAAGTTGTTTTATTTATTGTAATAAGCGCCATAAGTTCAATGAAACGAAAAGTTTTCAATGAAACGAAAAGTTTTATTTTACATTCCTTTTTAATCATAAATAGAATAAGAGCTTAAACCACTAATTAGTTAGCTAGACGTAAACTTGAGGAAATATTCTTTATTTAAAAAACTTTATTTGGTTGTTAGCATTTTTATTATGGTAAGTGGTTGAATTTAGGGGAATTTAGTGAGACAGGGTCAGTTTCTCTATTGTCTTAGAAAAATTTCTACTTTACAGTAGGCAATGCTGAGTGGCAGGAATGAAGGACCAAAACGCTTGGGGCTAGCAATGGCCCATTTACAAACCACTTCAGAGTTGGCAACATAATCTTTTATGAATTTGGTTAAGATAACAATTGTTTAACATTACATAACAAGTAATATATCAGGCTTGTGATGGTTTACTGGGCCGCGCTCAGCCTGTCATTCCGCCAAATCTTTATGTTAATGAACATAATAGCCTGGGGTCCTCAGGTAAGTGATGGTGCTTTAGGAGCGGTATTTGGGGTACTAGTAAAGCTCTTACAGGCAACTGGTTCCTTTTGCGAGCCGTTTTTAGTCCAAGTACAGTCCCATTTCTGGTCTCAGAACATGTGCAACTAAAATGTTCTTATGCCAACGTGGAATTATTTGTATCACGTCGTAACCCCTGTCATTGCACGAAGTTTTTTGTGGCTAAAGTTCTCTAAAGTTAGTGTTCAAGCTGAATTATTATCCATCATAATTAAGACTCAGTGTGGAAGAAACTTTTGTATATCAACATTTTATAGAGTAGGAACGCTTGGCTTAGATAATTTTGAATCTTTCAAGAAACATTTTGTTACTTTAGCATCAGCCAGAAAATTGCAAAGGCACATTCTGGTAGGTGACTTTAATTTGGCTTCGATTTCCTGGCCAGATGGTCAGTCATCTTGCCAGCTACATTCTAGCTTTGTAAATGTTCTCACTGATGACCTCGGACATACACAACTTATTAGCTCCCCTACTCACAAGTCAGGCAACACCTTAGATCTTGTGTTCACTAACATTCAAAACCTTATTAAGAATGTTAAAGTTTTAGATCAAAACGAAATGTGTATGTCCGACCACTTTTGTATCACATTTGACATTGATATTAAGACCAAGTATATTAAGCAGCCTAAAAGAAAGATCTTTAATTATAGTAAAGGTAATTTTAGGGGCCTGAATTCTGAGTTATTTAGCATCGATTGGGATAGTATATTTGAGTGTAATGATCCTTATCTTGCCTGGAGTCGATTCAGAGGAGTTCTCGGTGCAGCCTGTGACCGATGGATCCCTAAAAAGACCATTAAGTCTCAGTTCCAGCCCCCATGGTATGACTCCGAATGTGATCGTCTCCTACGAAATAAGGAGAAATGGAGAATAAGGCATAAGGGGAGCAACTCTGAGTCTCATAAACAAAAGTTTCGTGCATTTCGCACAAAATTTAAAAATTTGATGGACGAAAGAATGAGACTCAGTGTTGAGGATGACTCCGATGATGCTCTTATCTCCAAGAAATTCTGGACCTACGTTAAATCTAAATCAAAGTCAACCAGGATCCCTGAAACTGTCAAATATCATAATCGCTTTCGAAACAATCCATCTGATCAAGCTGCCCTTTTTAACGAATATTTTTATGAGCAGTTTTCTCAAGAGAGCGATTATGGCATTGACATAGATTTTCGTGATGATTGTTTTTCAAGTCTTGTGTTTAGTAGAGAAGATGTTCTGTTGATTCTTAAAAAGTTAAATCCTAACAAGGCCCCTGGCCCTGATGGGATTCATGGGAGAGTCCTCAAAAACTGTGCCCAAAGCCTTGCATACCCACTTAGTGTTTTATTTAACCTGTCTTTCTCGAGCGGATGCATACCCCCTGATTGGAAGCTGGCACTTGTAGTACCAGTGCACAAAAAGGGCGATAAGTCTTCGGTTGAGAACTACAGGCCTATCTCGTTAACATCTCTTGTAATGAAAGTCTTTGAAAGGTGCATAAAGACTGCATTATACGCTGCGTGTTCTGATCTGTTGGATGACCGACAACACGGTTTTGTTAATGAACGTTCATGCACAACCCAAATGATACCTTTTACGGACAATCTTGCACTTGCATTGAATAACAGGTCCAGGACTGATATAATATATTTTGATTTTGCGAAAGCCTTTGATAGCGTTTCGCATGATCTTATTTTAAGTAAATTAAAGAATATTTTTAGTAAAACAAATTTTTTTTTAGTAAAACAAATTTAAATTTTGGTATTTATTAATAACAATCAAAACATATCATATCATAAAAATAAAGCCGCGCGTTGGTTGACTGCCTCAGTATGGTGTTTTAATGTCGATGGACTAATGCTTAAATTTATTAAGTCCTATCTTGAGGGGCGACAACAACAAGTAGTGATAGGAGGCCAAACGTCTTCTTCTCTACCAGTTCGGTCTGGTGTCCCTCAAGGTTCTATACTTGGCCCTTTATTGTTTGTAATATTTATAAATGACATGTTCTCCTGTGTCTCTGAAGGCACCAATATCGCCCTTTATGCAGATGACACTAAAATTTGGAGGGAGATTCTTGGTTACCCTGACCATCACATAATCCAAAATGACATCAATAGATTATATGATTGGTCAGTGAGAAATCGAATGAAGTTCCACCCACAAAAGTGCAAAGCCCTCTCTGTGTCCCTGCAAAGAAACGTGCTGGATAACTTGCCATTCAATACCTTCTTTTATAAACTTTCTGGAAGTGATATTGACTTTGTGCCCTCTCAGTCAGATTTAGGAGTCGCAATAAACTCCAGGTTTAATTGGGGTGCACAATGTAAAGCGCTTGTTTCCAAAGCTACATCTAGACTTGGACTACTTAAGAGAACATGTCATTTCACTACTGATAAAAGGCAGAAAAGATCGTTCTATTTAGCGTTAATTAGGTCTATATTTGAACATTGTTCTGTCATATGGTCCCCTCAATCTGCAACTCATCTTCAACAGTTTGTTGCTATCCAAAAGAGGGCTATTAAATGGATCAATGGTGAACCTTACTCCAGTTATAATGACGATAAACTTGCTACAGAGCAAAAGAAACTAAATATTCTCCCTGTTAAACAGAAGTTTATTTATAACGATCTTATGACCTTCTATAAAATAGTGAATAGCATAATTCCAGTTTCGCTCCCTACATATATAGTCCTATGCCGTCCAGAGGGCACCCGATACACTAGGCACAATGCTCAAATAATTGATATGTCAGATACTTCAACTTACATGAGTACCACTGTGCCCTGCTCGGATGCCTTCCGAAATAGCTTTTTTCATAGATCTATGCTGAAATGGAATAGTCTACCAGTATGTATCCGGCAGTCAGAGCGGATTTCTACTTTTAAGGCCAAACTGATCAAGTACCTCTGGGCAGCCGATACAGTCTGGCCAGATTAGCTCATCAGTCTTATGAGTCTCAGAAATTTGTTTTTGTTGGTTACAATTCTGTCCGTCCAATTTCCTATCTGCTTGTCCTTTTCTTTTTTCTTTATCAGTTGTGACGGAATTGTAATGGACAAAATCCTTATAATTATTTATGATATGTTTGATTTCTTGTTAATGTTTGTCATTCAAATTTGGTAGACGGCCCCAACGTTAATGTGGCTCTTGCTATGTGTTGGTTCAGCCGAATTAATTATTATATAATCAAGTTTATTTTTCTCGTTAGTTGTCATCCGGCCAAACATTAAACAACTTATATTGCAGTACCATTTATCATTTAGTAATCAAAATATGTCATTGTAATTTTGCATGGCTGAAATGTAACGCTTGATTTATATATATAATGATTAATTGAATTTTCAAATAAAAATAAAAAAACCGACGAAGCTGGAAGCCGTGCACTCGTGCGCTGCAGGGCTACAACGTGAAACAAGACATTATGGACTATTGATTTATGAAATTTAACCATTTAGAATACAAGTCAGTTAATGAAATATTTTTAGAATAACTTTCACTTCTGCTTTAAAATTTTTTGTTGAATTCATTAGTTTAGGCTCGGCGCCGTCATTATAATAAGTGACTAGCACCGTGCTGATAGAAATTTATGATTGAGATGAATTTTCGAGTAATATATAGTTCAAGACGCGCGCCGAATTGTAACAAATATTTTAAGAGTATCGCCCGTTAATATATAATAAAAAAGTATTTTACATAGTGCATATCTAATTTTCACGAGTTTATTATCGGATGTTCAATTTTAAATATGTTTATTATGATATTATTATTTGTTGTAATATGGCTTGTAGCGCGATGCACTACTGGGTCGCGCGCGCGCATCCAATAATGCTTCTCGCAACTTATGTATGCAGATCGGCGAGATGCAAAGGATTGACATCGTGAATCAATAATATGGCAAAAAAATTTAACTTTTTTTGAGTACAAGATACTTTTGACGGATGTTACTCGTTTAAATTTCTTCGAAGTAGCGCGCCCCGCTTTCTTCTCTCGATGGCAAGTGCTACGAAGTAGCGCGCGCCGGGCCAGACCGTTAACAATGGTCAAAAGATACTTTAAAATTGTTTAAAATTTAAAAGTGCAAGTGCAAGTGAGAATTAAATTAGATTGAAGATACAATGCGCCTGTTGGATACCAGTTGTGCATTGCGCTACAAATACCGTACCATCAACCATAAATTGTACGCGTATTAACACGCGCGCCGAGTAATTTCATTATTAATAACTCATCGACGGTTAATTGAATATTTCAAATCACAAATGAATGCAATATTGTGCGAGTATCATTTTTATAAAAAATTATACTCGCACAACATTCATTTCATGTGATCATTTGAAATATAGAATTAACCGTCGATGAGTTATCAATTCACATAGCCATGTGTATACGCGTACTGCGTGACGCGCTTGGCGGTCGCGCGCGCGCGACCGCCAAGCGCGTCACGCAGTACGCGTAGACACATGGCTACTCGGTCGCGCGCTACTGCAAGCGAGAGGGCTCTGGTTAGAGCAAAGTTATCAATAATGAAATAACTCGGCGCGCGTGTTAATATTACAAATTTATGGTTGATGGTACGGTATTTGTAGCGCAATGCATTATTTTACTGGTATCCAACTGGTATCCAACAGGCGCGTCGTACCTACAATTTAATTTAATTATAACTTGCACTTTTAAATTTTAAACAATTTTAAAGTATTTTGTACCCAAAAAAACTTTACTGGATGGGACCTAACTTTGAAAGTAAAAGAGATAGAGACTTTCGGTGTTTTTTTTTCAAAATGTTTTTCAAAATGTTCGTTTTGTAAAAATAACGTTTTGTAAAAATAACGTAGTTGTCGAGTTATTTCAAAATCTTCAGAAAAGTCTCATTTTGGGCTGATCAAAAGTTTGCAACTTTAACTTTGTGGATTCTTGTCGTCTGATTGGCTGAATTGTGTCACGTGCTCATGGGTGCTTGAATGTTGAAGATTGGACTGTGTCAGATCACGCGTGCAAATCACTTAATGTCCAATGTCACGCGCGAGTACAAACCGTTTGTTTAAATTAAACCACCTCTAGCGAGCCCGCCAGCCAGTAAGGTTTTCTGGGTAGATGTATTATATATGGTATAGTGAATTTTAAAACGCCGCGCTTGTTTATTTTGATTTCAATACCGAGTTGTCTTATTTTATTAATGATTAATGTTATTACGTAATTAAGAATATGATGTATCGTTGGAATTTTTCAATTTTTAAATAATTGTGCCTAAGTGGCAAATGATTTATTAGTGTAATGTTAACAGTTAAATAATTCATATTTCGTACAGATTGTGGTGCAGATAGTAAAACTGCTAGAATGTAGAAATATAATGCAATTGCAGTAGAAACGCAAAATATTTAAAAATTATTCTTCATGCATAACATATTCATATTGCTCTCAGGCTTGAAGTTCCACCTTTGACCTTACATTTTATAACATTAAACCGAAAAGTACAGTTGCATTTGTATAAACTGGAACAGAACCGTGTTGCGTTTGGTACAGCTACATTAGTGTTAACCACAAATTTAATAAGTTAAAAAATTAATAATAATAGTGCAACTGCAATCTTGTAGGTTTACAACCTACCAGGACGCGCGCCGAGTTGGACTCGTCGACGGTCCTGTATATGGAACAGATATTTTACGAGTATCACCCGTTAACTGCAATCTGCAATAGCGCAATGTCTGAATGGCTTTTATTTTTATCTTTCATTTAGGAGATCCAAATTCTCGAATGGTATGACGGCATACAACTGTGAACTGGGCTACTAGGATAGCTCAAGTATTAGCTTAGCAGTTGCAAGCCCCGTATCGCTCAGCTCACAATAAATTATAGTATAATGATACTTCTTTAATAGTTGGCTGAGAAAAGACGGAGCCGCGCACACGAGTCTTGCGCTCCAGGTGTTACGCCGTGAGAATGTAGAAAAGTAATACTTGTTTGTTACATCAATATTTGTTAATTATTTATATATTACTTATATATTATTCTACGCAATATCTGAATGGCTTTGCTTTTATTTTTTATCTTTCATTTAGGAGATCCAAATTCTCGAAAGGTATGATCGAAACAAGACGGCATACAACAGTGAACTGGGCATCAAATTAAACTGCTCAATATTATGAGAAATATTTAGTGGATGGTTTGTGACTTATGGTGTGCAAATACAAATGTTTTGATAATGTCTATCTGATATTTTAATTTAGCAGTCGTGAAAATGATTCATTTACGAAAGAAACCAAAGAAAACATTTCATTTCAGATAATAAATTGTAACTTACAAGTATGACAGTATCTAATATAATTGTTAAATTGGTTTCATCAATTAAATCTTGTGACAGTAAAATGTAAATCACTTCTTTTTATTCTTTAAAACAGTTCAATAATCGCTATAATTGGCAATTGCTTGAAACACAGTAGAGCCAAAAGCGGGAGAAAGTTCTTTTACATGTTAATAATAATAGCAGGACTCCGCATCAGAAATAAATATTCAGATACAATTATAGAATGCAATCAGTCAACCGAAAATAATGGGATAAATTCAATACGCATAATTCTATATAAATTATGAATCTAGACTTTCTATTAGACATTTTCCAGACACTCCGTTAATATAATGTTGTAAAATTTAATCACGTCTATTGTCTAATACCCATAGACAAACAGTCTCGTTACATACCAATAGGGCAGAAAGAGGAAGGGTTAGGTAAAATGGGATTCAACGCAAAAATTGGAATATACAACCAATAATCGTATTCAATTCAGCTATATATATCATACGTTCAATAAGGTATAAGAATTTGTACAAATTTATTGTCAGGACGTATACTAAATACTTATAGACTATAGAGTTTAGAGACAGTTTCTAGCGAAACATTTCCTCCCACATTATGATCCATTTTCTTCAGAGAAAGTTGGTATTATTCTCCGGTTTCCCAAATCTGAAATGATAGTTTTATCAGTGATAATTACTACTTCGCACACCGTTTGAAATTTACCATTTATTCATCACTTGCATTGAGTAAGAAACCCGTTATTATATGTAAAATAGACCCCTCCCAAATGGCAAGTGTCACAAGTGTCATGGAGGAGAAGGGGAAAGTGTTAAAAAGTTTACCCCGATATCTTTGAAAGTATATTATGAAATACGTGAGAATCATTACTAGATTATCACTCCATTATTAATAGAAACAAGTTAAAATCTCCGACCTCCGTGCAACTTTGGGAGGGGTCCATGTTAGAAACAATAGTTTTAACTTCCCCGTAATTCATTAAAATAAATACCTGTTAATGTTTTAATTCGAATTACAATCAAGGGTAGACGAGTATGGCTTCTGATGTGCAGGATTTTCACCTGTCAGCCCATTGCCAGGTTTTAGTCCGGTCACGTGGGGTGATCAGGTCAGGAACACTATGACACGTGGTACATGACACGTCACGTGGGCAACCCACGTGGGCAGTCAGTCAGCACGCCGTGAGCCTGAAATAATGATAAACATTATAATTGATAGGATGGCGCTGATTGATGGAGAGGGCTAGATAGTCGGATGTTTGTTTTAATCAAGTTAACGGCACGCGATCTTCCTAATCAACCGTTAGTACCAATAAGAGGTTGACATGTGCCCACGTGATCCACAGTGACCAATCAGAACAGCACACTCCGAGAACTTGCACGTGCGCGGGCTGTGTTAGTCGAATTAAGAAAATCTTCCCAATTAAAGACATATCCTGTGGATTTAAGTAGGATGGTCAGCTGGATGCATGTTTTGTGAAAACTGGTCAAATCAACCTGAAATTCTGATGATTGCAACTTATTTCCGGAGAAATCATGGTTCACAAAGCCCAAGGTATGGTCGGTCGCTTGTCACGTATTGGTGAAGACAATTATGGGGTCTTTGAGAGGACTTAAAAGCGGCATATTATCAAACGGCCTTTCTGTTTGTAAAACATCAAGATCTGAATAGCAAAATATGATTTACAATTTCTTCCTTAAGTAAGTCAAAATGTTGAACTTTCGTAAAATTGCCATTTTGCGTCACAATTAAAATACTTTTTTTGTACCAGTAGCAAATTTATACGCTGAATTTTGAAACTGAAGGCCAATTATTATGGCTGCCGCCTGCCACCAAGCCCACAATACACTGCAATCATTATAAGATATGTTTAAATATGTACATTACATCTACAAAATTTGAGTGGCAATCTGCAGCTTATTTATATCTATAGCTATTTTAAAATGCACTGATTTCAGTTGGGCTCATTTTGAATCATCCCTTTATATACACACTATCAATCGACCAAGTTATTTTAACATTAACATCATCATTACGAGTATTTTGGGCAAGTTAATTCCGCGAAAAGCTGTTAAAACCGGGTACCCTGGAATCCTGGATATGTTTTCAACGGGTGGATAAGTCAGTAAACAAAACCGAGAGCAGCAAATAGATTTCTGAGAAACTGGTCACGTGTACAACAGGTGGGACGTGGGCGAAACTAGAAAATTCCGATAACCCTGCAACAAATTTAAACGGTACAGCTGAGGTTTTCAGGTCATGACGATGTTTTTTCGAAACCACGCGGATAGTTGCTTTTAGTAATGATAATATTATGACAGAGACAGTTGGTAATTGTGGTATTTTACAAAAATAAATAATATGGAGTGACAAGGTCACATGGTCACGTGGTCGGTGGATCTGTCATGATCCGGGGTGGACTAAATTATAGAGAGGTAAAATTAGTGCTGAACAATGAACAGTAATCTTCAGTGGGAACTGGATTTAAAATTTAAAATAATCTTGACACCCTCAGTCAGCCCCAGTCCCGTACCCTACAGAACACTGTGTAGCACTCCCCGTACCCTACAGAACACTGTGTAGCACTCCCCGTACCCTACAGAACACTGTGTAGCACTCCCCGTACCCTACAGAACACTGTGTAGCACTCCCCGTACCCTACAGAACACTGTGTAGCACTCCCCGTACCCTACAGAACACTGTGTAGCACTCCCCGTACCCTACAGAACACTGTGTAGCACTCCCCGTACCCTACAGAACACTGTGTAGCACTCCCCGTACCCTACAGAACACTGTGTAGCACTCCCCGTACCCTACAGAACACTGTGTAGCACTCCCCGTACCCTACAGAACACTGTGTAGCACTCCCCGTACCCTACAGAACACTGTGTAGCACTCCCCGTACCCTACAGAACACTGTGTAGCACTCCCCGTACCCTACAGAACACTGTGTAGCACTCCCCGTACCCTACAGAACACTGTGTAGCACTCCCCGTACCCTACAGAACACTGTGTAGCACTCCCCGTACCCTACAGAACACTGTGTAGCACTCCCCGTACCCTACAGAACACTGTGTAGCACTCCCCGTACCCTACAGAACACTGTGTAGCACTCCCCGTACCCTACAGAACACTGTGTAGCACTCCCCGTACCCTACAGAACACTGTGTAGCACTCCCCGTACCCTACAGAACACTGTGTAGCACTCCCCGTACCCTACAGAACACTGTGTAGCACTCCCCGTACCCTACAGAACACTGTGTAGCACTCCCCGTACCCTACAGAACACTGTGTAGCACTCCCCGTACCCTACAGAACACTGTGTAGCACTCCCCGTACCCTACAGAACACTGTGTAGCACTCCCCGTACCCTACAGAACACTGTGTAGCACTCCCCGTACCCTACAGAACACTGTGTAGCACTCCCCGTACCCTACAGAACACTGTGTAGCACTCCCCGTACCCTACAGAACACTGTGTAGCACTCCCCGTACCCTACAGAACACTGTGTAGCACTCCCCGTACCCTACAGAACACTGTGTAGCACTCCCCGTACCCTACAGAACACTGTGTAGCACTCCCCGTACCCTACAGAACACTGTGTAGCACTCCCCGTACCCTACAGAACACTGTGTAGCACTCCCCGTACCCTACAGAACACTGTGTAGCACTCCCCGTACCCTACAGAACACTGTGTAGCACTCCCCGTACCCTACAGAACACTGTGTAGCACTCCCCGTACCCTACAGAACACTGTGTAGCACTCCCCGTACCCTACAGAACACTGTGTAGCACTCCCCGTACCCTACAGAACACTGTGTAGCACTCCCCGTACCCTACAGAACACTGTGTAGCACTCCCCGTACCCTACAGAACACTGTGTAGCACTCCCCGTACCCTACAGAACACTGTGTAGCACTCCCCGTACCCTACAGAACACTGTGTAGCACTCCCCGTACCCTACAGAACACTGTGTAGCACTCCCCGTACCCTACAGAACACTGTGTAGCACTCCCCGTACCCTACAGAACACTGTGTAGCACTCCCCGTACCCTACAGAACACTGTGTAGCACTCCCCGTACCCTACAGAACACTGTGTAGCACTCCCCGTACCCTACAGAACACTGTGTAGCACTCCCCGTACCCTACAGAACACTGTGTAGCACTCCCCGTACCCTACAGAACACTGTGTAGCACTCCCCGTACCCTACAGAACACTGTGTAGCACTCCCCGTACCCTACAGAACACTGTGTAGCACTCCCCGTACCCTACAGAACACTGTGTAGCACTCCCCGTACCCTACAGAACACTGTGTAGCACTCCCCGTACCCTACAGAACACTGTGTAGCACTCCCCGTACCCTACAGAACACTGTGTAGCACTCCCCGTACCCTACAGAACACTGTGTAGCACTCCCCGTACCCTACAGAACACTGTGTAGCACTCCCCGTACCCTACAGAACACTGTGTAGCACTCCCCGTACCCTACAGAACACTGTGTAGCACTCCCCGTACCCTACAGAACACTGTGTAGCACTCCCCGTACCCTACAGAACACTGTGTAGCACTCCCCGTACCCTACAGAACACTGTGTAGCACTCCCCGTACCCTACAGAACACTGTGTAGCACTCCCCGTACCCTACAGAACACTGTGTAGCACTCCCCGTACCCTACAGAACACTGTGTAGCACTCCCCGTACCCTACAGAACACTGTGTAGCACTCCCCGTACCCTACAGAACACTGTGTAGCACTCCCCGTACCCTACAGAACACTGTGTAGCACTCCCCGTACCCTACAGAACACTGTGTAGCACTCCCCGTACCCTACAGAACACTGTGTAGCACTCCCCGTACCCTACAGAACACTGTGTAGCACTCCCCGTACCCTACAGAACACTGTGTAGCACTCCCCGTACCCTACAGAACACTGTGTAGCACTCCCCGTACCCTACAGAACACTGTGTAGCACTCCCCGTACCCTACAGAACACTGTGTAGCACTCCCCGTACCCTACAGAACACTGTGTAGCACTCCCCGTACCCTACAGAACACTGTGTAGCACTCCCCGTACCCTACAGAACACTGTGTAGCACTCCCCGTACCCTACAGAACACTGTGTAGCACTCCCCGTACCCTACAGAACACTGTGTAGCACTCCCCGTACCCTACAGAACACTGTGTAGCACTCCCCGTACCCTACAGAACACTGTGTAGCACTCCCCGTACCCTACAGAACACTGTGTAGCACTCCCCGTACCCTACAGAACACTGTGTAGCACTCCCCGTACCCTACAGAACACTGTGTAGCACTCCCCGTACCCTACAGAACACTGTGTAGCACTCCCCGTACCCTACAGAACACTGTGTAGCACTCCCCGTACCCTACAGAACACTGTGTAGCACTCCCCGTACCCTACAGAACACTGTGTAGCACTCCCCGTACCCTACAGAACACTGTGTAGCACTCCCCGTACCCTACAGAACACTGTGTAGCACTCCCCGTACCCTACAGAACACTGTGTAGCACTCCCCGTACCCTACAGAACACTGTGTAGCACTCCCCGTACCCTACAGAACACTGTGTAGCACTCCCCGTACCCTACAGAACACTGTGTAGCACTCCCCGTACCCTACAGAACACTGTGTAGCACTCGAGCCGGTACAAGTACAGGGTTATTTACAGTAGGTACTAGAGGATAGTACTGGTCAGGGAGTACTGGTCAGGGAGTACTGGTCAGGGAGTACTGGTCAGGGTGGGTAAAGTACTGGTCACTGAGGGTAGAATTGTATTGATCTTACTCTAAATCTGGATCTGACATAACACCCTCCTCCTATTTATACAGAGTGACAGCTCTATATTTGCCATAACAGCCAGGTCCTACCATAACGATACTGTTTCTGTAAGACAAGTGATCGTTCTGTACACCAGCAATTCCCAGATGTAAGCATGCCTGACTGGCTTTATATTGTGACTTTATATTGTAGTGTATTACAGGACTGTCCAGTACCCATGAAATCAAATGATAGGGACATTATTTTAAAAGTTTCTTGAAGCACAGCTTGGTTTTTATAGCGGTTCATCTTCACTCCATTACTACTCGATTATTATTCAATTAAACTACACAGGTATCTGGTGATGCTGCGGTTGACCGGCCAGAGAGGTGCGGGGAAGAAGAAGAAGTT